GTTAATAACTGATTTTTGCTTTAGAAGAAGAATCATAGAATCATAGAAAGAAATTTAAATAACAATTGATGCAAGACTAAGATGCTGTCTCTGAAGGTAACAGCTGCTAGGAAATCAAAGTGGTTGTAGACTAATAAAGCAATGAACCTGTATGAAAACAGAAAATCAACAACACGAATTAAACCAATGAAAACATCCCTTGTCCATTACAGTAGTTCATTTTACTAAGGGTCCAGTTATTTTTTAAGTTTCTATTTTTTAAAAAATTCTAGGGAACTTATATATGGTTGTTCCAGATTTATTTTTTGTTTGTTTCTTTGTTTTCATTTTGATTTTCTTTTCATGTGGACTATTTGTGATCAGGTGAAAAAATGCAGAACATAAGACTTGACAATAAGCATGAAAATATTTTTGATTGCTTTTGAAAGCATTTCTATTTCAAAATTTTCAAAATCTCCAAACTTTCTTTTAAGAAATATTCTTTGTTCAGATCAATGCATTGCGTGAAATATTGGTAATTTATCGTTATCAGAATAATATAGTTGTCCAGGAAATTAAGGAGTGATGAACAGAGAACAAAGCTATTGCATAAGAATGGGAAGTCTTACTCATTTAATATACAGGTATTTACTGCAATTTAGTTTAGTTTAATTTAGTTTATGCAACTGTGTTCCATCACAGAAGAGGCAAAGGTTCATCACAGACTTATTCAGATTTTAGGATTTTTCGCTGGGTACTTGGAGACCTGGACAGCCAGTGTGCTGTGGTTTAACCCAGCCAGCAGCTAAGTACCACACAGATAAAACTCATGGGTTGAGATAAAGACAGTTTAATAGGAAAGAAAATGGGGGAGAGGGGAAGAATACAAAAAACAAGTGATACGCAACACAGTTTCTCGCTAACACCCAACTCATGCCAAACCTGTCCCCAGATAATGGTAGCCCCCTTGGTCAACTCCCTGCAGTTTTATTGCTCAGTGTGGTGTCATATGGTATGGAACACTCCTCTGCTCAGTTTGGGTCAGCTGTCCTGGCTGCGTCCCCTCACAATTTCTTGTGGATTCTAAGCTTCCTCACTACCAGGGCAGTATGAGAAGCTGAAAGCCCTTGGCTTAGGGTAAGAACTGCTTAGCCACAACTGAAACACCAGTGTCTTACCAGCATTATTTTCCTCCTACATCCAAAACATGGCACCATAGCAGCCACTATGAAGAAAATTAACTCTGTCCTAGCCAAAACCAGGGCAATATCCACCTCTTATTCTATACCATTTATGTCATGGTCAGGTGTCACAGTTTCCAAAACATTCTCATTAATCATCACCGCCTTTCCAGCCTTTTGATATATACACACAGATATCCTTGGTCTACGGCCTATCCCTCTGTGGTTCAGCCCTATGCAAGGGCTGTAGCTTTCATGACTTTGGGCTCCATCAGACATAAAGGTCTTTCAGGGTAGAAGAGGTGGTGTGTGGTGTTAAATTTTTGCATGCAGAGACCAGCTCTGGTGCAATACTACGATACTTCTCCACTTGTATCATTGCTGCACTTTAGTTCCATCAAAATTCATTCTTCTTTGGTTTGCTCTTGCCTGAGGCAGAAATAACCAAGACTGTCTTTGCCAGCATGTAGTTTGTTGTTGTTGTTTGTTTGCTTGTTTTGTTTTTATGTGCATTACAGGGACTTTATCCCATTCTACGTTAAATAAAAGTTTTGACTGGGCAGGGTCAGATCAACTGGCAGATTTCCTAGCGTTGACTGAGCAGGTGGCTTTTTCCAAATGCATATTCCAGTGTCTGAATGTCCCAGCACCCATTGCTCTTAGTGTAGTCTTTAACAGTCCATTGTATTTTTCCATTTTTTCCAGAGGCTTGTGCATGACAGGGGATGTGATATACCCACTCAATGCCGTAGTCTTTGATACTGGTGTCTTTGAGGTTGTTTCAGAAATGAATTCTGATGTCTCAGTTCTTTCTGGGAGTGACATGTCATTGTAAAACTTGCCTTTCAAGTTTTTATTTCTCTTTCAAGGGAAGGGAAGGGAAGGGAAGGGAAGGGAAGGGAAGGGAAGGGAAGGGAAGGGAAGGGAAGGGAAGGGAAGGGAAGGGAAGGGAAGGGAGGGAAGGGAAGGAAGGGAAGGGAAGGGAAGGGAAGGGAAGGGAAGGAAGGGAAGGGAAGGGAAGGGAAGGGGGGAAGGGAAGGAAGGGAGGGAAGGGGAAGGGAGGGGAGGGGAGGGAGGGGAGGGGAGGGGAGGGAGGGGAGGGGAGGGAGGGGAGGAGGGGAGGGGAGGGGGAGGGGAGGGGAGGATTCAAAGTTAAAAAGTAGGTAAGACTGAAGATTCAAAATAATTAGCTAGAAATTAATGAAATGTCAGCTACAGCCCCTAAAAGCACCCAGTCCAAATAGACAAAGACAGCAGACTAGATCAGTGGTTAAGGTAGGGCTAAAACAAAGCTTTCTCTCCCATAGTTATATCACTTGAATCACACATCTTTTGATGTTTTCAGCTATTTTTCACACCCTCTTGGTTAACAATGATCATCAACTCTTTCAGGATGCACAATTCATAGCATTAAACATGTAAAACATGATATGCTTAAGTCTGAAGAAGTCACTCTGATCCCCCTTTACAGACAAGTAAGAGAAGTTTGCCACTCAAAATAGCATTTAATCTACTATTAGAAGTATGGAATTGGCTCGCTCCCTCCCATTGTCTACAGAGGGAGCCTCAAGTTCAGATCAACCAACTTCTACAGTTCCAAAGTCATCTGAAATAGATCCCACCCAAAAGGGAAATAGGGATTTCAAGAGAGTCTACTTAAACTCGGAGTAAATGATGACTCAGAGGTAGTTCAGATGTTCTCTTGGCCAAGAAACAAACCAAACTAAACTAAACCAAACCAAACCAACAAAAATGTAAGCTTTGTGAGGGGACACTGCAATGTAAGCTGGCTGTAGGCATCATCGGTCCAATGCTGTCCGTAATGTAAGAAGAAAAAAAAAAGGAAATTCTTCTAGTGAAAATCACCTAACCCGTTTTGGAGACACTGTACGGCAGGGCTGCCGAAGGTAAGACACTTACTTCAAAATGCCTATTGTTATTATACAAAGGAAGTACTAAGGAAGTACTAAGACCAAAAAGAAGTATTAAGACCAAAACTTGTAAGTCCTCATAGTTACTAAAAAAGAAGTACACAAAGTAAGAGTTGTTCTTCACAGGTGTTTTTCATCAGGTAATAAAACACTAACCTATCAGTAAAGCAATGACTGCCATGAATTTAATTAACTTTAATTAAAAGCTAAACCAAGGCAATAGGTTAAAACTTTGTACCAAGGCAATAGGTTAAAACTTTGTAAATGATCAAAGAGCTTAGGCAGATTCTACTTCAGCTACTTGGACCTCAAAAGTTAAGAAAAGTATTGTAAATACGTGTCCTTACAGTCTAAGGGTAACTTTTAAAGTTCTTCTCTATTCTGAGTAGGCTATATTGAGGTCTCTCTCAAAACTGGAACTTCAGTAATGTACTATTCTTTCATTTCCATGCCAATAGAAACAATGAAAACCACAAAGATTCCCTTCAAATACATTAGATTTTTAAATGCCTGAAGATGTTAAGAGTTCCCTTATTTTATATATAAATTAAAATCATCTGTGGCTCCCACGTCACAACTTTGACTTCCTTGTTCATGTTAGAAAACCCACAGACAAAAGGGCAGCAAAAGGGTAAGATACAGCAGACAGAGAAATTGGATTAAGTATTTACAAAAGGTGGCTGAATCATGACAGGGTTGTGAGCATTGCTCTTGTTTTGATAATGTATTATTCCCTTTTGTTGTGATCTCTTGACAAGGTCCCTATATGTATTGTGGAAAATGTACTTCTGCACCACTCTCCATATAAGGATACACTTCTGCCACCAAAGAACATTTTGTGCCTTGAGATTCACTAGTGTAGTCCAATGCTGGGTTCCCCCCTAGTAACAGAACTTGAGCCTGGAGAATGCAGAGTTAATGACCATTTGTTCTGCTGTGGCAGTCTTATCTCTTCTCTCTCTTTTCTCAGTTTCCCCTTCTGGGCAGTAACAAAACATGAAGCTGCCACAATTGGCACAGTGCTGCATAGTGCTCCATCTGCATCACACACATAGAGGCACTCTTCAGGATAATGAATCAATGTGACTAATGAGGCAGACAGCACTGAACTTCACTCTTTATGCCGTATTGGTGTTCTCTGTGGGTATCTTTATTATCCCTTCTTTCGTTAACAGAAAGAATAGACAAAGGCTACTTGGTTTGCTTTGTTGTATTCATTTTCTTTCTTTTCTTTCTTTCTTTTCTTTCTTTCTTCTTTCTTTCTTTCTTTCTTTCTTTCTTTCTTTCTTTCTTTCTTTCTTTCTTTCTTTTTCTTTCTTTTCTCTTTCTTTTCGTCAGTGTTTTCATTGCCAGCTGGCTTTGTCTTTAGTGCAGGGAATTCCCATGGAACCATTTGGGACCACTAACCTGACATCTGGGGGAGCACATGTTCTTGGCAATTAACCCTACGCCTGTAATGAAGCAAACCTTAAATACCAACTACTAATAGTTGTATGTTTGGGTCAGCCTCCCACGCTATGAAACTTAGTGAACACCAGTGTTACACTCTTACAGCACACACAGCAATTGCCTTCTTTGTTCAGCAAAGCCATCTCCAGAGTGGTAACCTCAATCCAATGCCTCCCCAGGGATTCCCAGAGGCTCCTTGCTTCAGTAACTGGCTGAAATGCTCTGATCTCATTGCAGTGACTACTCCTCTGACACCCTGTCCATTTGATTCCTCCCAGATGAAGTCAGCAGAAAGACCAGAACTAGGAAACCATACTCTTCTGACAGAATTTGTCCTCTCTGGATTGTCTAACCACCCAGAACTGCAGAACCTGCTGTTCTTCACATTCTGCTTGATTTATACATTCACTATCACTGGAAATCTTCTCTTCTTCATTGCCACAGTGCATCCAACCTCCACATGCCCATGTACTTCTTCCTCCGGGTCTTATATCCTTCCTGGATGTTTCTACAGCATCCATTGTTGTTCCCAAGATGTTAGTAAACTTCCTGTCAGAGGAGAGGAGAATTTCCTATGTGGGCTGTGCCACACAACTCTACTTTGTGATTTTCTTAGGAGCTACCGAATGCTACCTGTTGGCAGCCTGGCCTATGACCGCTATGTGGCCATATGCAACCCCCTTAGATATGCAATCATCATGAACAGCAGAGCTTGTTTTTTCCTAGTCCTGCTGTCATGTGCTAGTGGTAATGTTGTGTCTGTGGTGCAGACAGTTTGGGTGTTCACATTGCCATTTGTGGGCCCAACAAGATTAACTACTTCTTCTGTGATATTCCCCAATCATTATGCTCTCCTGCACTGACACCTCCTTCTATGAGAAGCAGACAATTACAGCCACAGTGCTGGTCATCTTTACACGTTTTGTCTCATCCTGGTATCCTATGCCTGCATCATCTCCAGCATTCTGAAGATTTCCTCTGCAGAGGGAAGATGCAAGACTTTCTCCACCTGTTTTTCACACCTTATTGTTGTAACACTATATTATGGTAGTGGGACCTTGATTTACTTACAGCCCAAGTCCAGTAATTCACAAGACACTAAGAAAATCATAGCTCTCTTTTACACAGTCATAATTCCTACATTAAACCCCTTGATTTACAGCCTGAGAACAAAGAAGTGAAAGGAGCACTAGTCAAAAATTATAGCTGAGCTGAGTAAGATATAAACTTATGCTGCTTGAAAGGAATCTTTCTTCTCCTCTGCATATTTGGATTGTATGTTTCTTTTATGTTCAACTGTTTTTAAATGTCCTGACAACTTGAAACACTAGGAAATTGGATGTATCTCAAAGTGCACTTAGGAACTTTTTGTTTCTTTTGTCCAGTATGAGTGTATATGAAACTTACTAATTCAGTATTCATAATGCATCACCTTGTATCAGATGGTAGAGATGAAGATTTCTCTCTCTTTTTTTTTTTTTTTTTAAATTTATGCGTTGCTTTATGAAAGAAATATTCTTTATTTCATAGACAAACAAAAATTCTCCACCCCCCACATGCTCCCAACATCTTGTAATAGATCATTACAATCATTCAGGTTGGAAAAGACCTCTAAGATCATCTAGTCCAACCTTTAACTTAGTACTAAAGTCCACCACTAAACCATGCTACTGAGGTTTGTATCTACACGTTTCTTGAAGACCTCCAAGGATGGTGACTCAACCACTTTCCTGGGTAGCCTATTCCAATGATGCACATTGCAGTAGGTAAATTTCTCCTAATATCCAATGTAAACCTTCCCTGGCACAGCTTGAGTTCATTTCCCCTCATCTTACCACTTGGGGCTTGGGTAATGAGCATCGCATTATTTGACAGGGGAGGAAAGGAAGAGAAGAAGAAAAAAACAATACTTGTTTTGAGAAGAGAAAAGAGAAGAGAAAGAAAAGAGAAGAGAAGAGAAGAGAAGAGAAGAGAGAGAAGAGAAGAAAGAGAAGAGAAGAGAAGAGAAGAGAAAGAAGAGAGAGAAGAGAGAGAAGAGAAGAGAAGAGAAGAGAAGAGAAGAGAAGAGAAGAGAAGAGAAGAGAAGAGAAGAGAAGAAACACAGTAAAGTCACTGTAGCAGAGACTGCAATGCGTCTTAGACAATTATCTTGCTACCCAGCCATACCGTCATTTGTATTTTGCATCTTGCTACCCAGGCCATACTGTCATTTGTATTTTGCATCTCTCTGCTACTTGTTCTTTATGCCATGGATAATAGCTTTTGGCAAAGTGACTGAGAGGTTTGTTAGAAGCAATTACAGATATGTGACTCCAGGACATTAGAGTATTCATTCAGGAGGAGGGAAGAAAACAGCCCTAGCTTTCTCAGAGGGGGAAGAAACTGAATCAGTCTCATCCACGGTCAATGACTGCTCTAAGTCCATAAGCGATGACTGTATGTGCCATTTTACCTGGTAAATCAGGGCATCTGGCCAGATTTCCCATAATTCTTCTGCCTCATATTTTTGTACAGCACACAAAGTTTCTCTTTGAACAAACTCCAGAAACCAAGACACATTGTTTAGTCTTCCAAGAGTAAGTAATGTGTTATTTCCAAGAGCAAAATGTATTATTTGATTGATTTACCTAAGCACAAAAAGTACCATAACGGGAAAGAAGAAACCTCTGTTGGGAATTCATCTCCTCTGAGCTTTGTGTGTTGCCTTGTAGGGACGAATATTAGAGACAAGCATGATTGTAAGTCTATAAGCTGCCGTTTAGCAGTACAGATATTGTTGATCACCTGGTCAAAGCTAAGGGTTTTAAACTGACCCTAACTCATGGACTGCATGGGGAAGCTGATGTTGTCAGAGCTGATGTTGTGGAGACATTACAGATTGTCACTCCGCAGAGGCAGCTGCCAGAAACTCCAACAGTGGAATAGAACCTTACATGCTCCTCCCAGGTGGGTCACAGATTTGAGTTGTTATATTACCTTATATCACCTTATCAGCTTATTCTACCAATATCTGGCCCACCAATAATCATAGGATCTTGTCATGGTCCTCTTCTTGGGTCACTTTTTTCAGGTTATTTAGCCATGTTGAGAGTCTGCTAGCAAAAATATGTTGTTTAAAAGAATAAAACAATTGTTTATTGTTTATTGTTTAATGCATACAAAAGATTACTGGAATGTACCAAGCTCTAAGGCTAAGCATTTGTGTGTTTTTCACTTCTGGCAAAGCACCAAAGAGCCTTGGATGGCCAAGCAGGAATCCGTCAGGAAGGGAAGTAGAAGTCCCATAAAATCCTGATGGCAGCTGCAAAGGTGTCTGAAGTCATCAAGAGATGTGTGGGACTGCAATGCTTACTAGCATTTAAACAGAGAATTACTGAAGTGGAAGGAAGCTCTTAAGATCTCTAGTCCAACTCACTCACTCAAAGCAAGTCAACTACAGCATATGCTGAGGGTCTTGCCTAGTTCAGTTCTGAACATCTTCAAGGATGGAGACACCACAGCACCTCTTGGCAACCTGTTCCATTGTTTGACTACCTCTGAAGTTAGAATGTTTTTCTTACATGTAATCAGAATTTCCTGTATTTTACCTTGTTCCCATTGCCTCTCATCCTGTCACTGATGCCAATGAGTAGAGTATAGCTCCATCTGCTATGATCCATATTATTTACTTTTTTGTCATTCAGTTGTATGCACTCAACATAGCCCAAATGCTCGATCATGGATGAGGTTCATACATTGCAACTGCAAGCCCAGCAGCAGAACTTCTTTTGATGGTGCATCTAGTGGGGAATTAAAATCTCTTTCCCACAGCTCAGAAACAGAAAGCCAACAGAAAAGTATGGTACAAACAGCATCTTAAAATGATGGACCCTGTCCGTCATTTTCAGTGCCAACTTACTATTTCCTTGGCAGCAAGAATCCACTGCTGCAGGATGGGAGCAACTTAGCGCACCTTTGGTGACTCCAGCCCTCAATTAAAATAGACTTTGCCTTGGGGAACAACGAGGCCTAAGTGGTCCTCAAAACAGTACCCCACCCTGGATATAGGCTCACCCATTACCGAACCATTTCCAGCTTTGGCAATCAATTCTCTGTGGGTGTGTGCCTTCAAGCAAGCTCAGCAATGTCTACAAGAAAGATCCAAGATGCCCATGTCTTCTTCAAGGCTTCTTCACTGCTCCAAAATTGGCTCCCCTACCTGTATCCTGTTGGACCCAATGAGGCATGTTGGCAAAGCAAAAGGTGTTAGTGGGTTTAGGTGCAAGGTTTGGTAGCAGGGGGCCATAGTGAGAAGGATCTAAAGCTGCCCCATGTTTGGTAAGGGCCCCACTGCTGACCAGAGCTGAGCCAAAAGTGATGTTGTTTTGCACCTCTGTGAGAGGCATATTTAAGACAGGGAAAAAAAAAAAAACACTGCACCACACAGCAGCTTGGGAGAGTGAGAGGAATGAGGAACAGCCTTGCAGGCACAAGGTCAGTGAAGAAGGAGGGGGAGAGGTGCTCCAGGTGCCGGAGCAGAAGTCCCCTGCGGCCTGTGGTGAAGACCATGGTGAAGCAGGATGTCCCCCTGCAGTCCATGGAGTACCACGGTGGAGCAGGATTCCAAGCTGCAGCCCACGGAGAGACCATGGTGGAGCAGGTGGACCTGCACCAATGGAGGCTGCCACCTGTGGAAGACCCCTGTTGAGCAGATTCCGGCCGGACCTGTAGCCCGTGGAGAGGAGCCCACGCAGGAGCAGGTGACCTGGCAGGAGCTGCTGCCCATAGGGGAGCCAAGTTGGAGCAGTTTTCTTCCGAGGGATGGACCCCGTGGTGCGGACCCATATTTGGAGCACTTCTGAAGAGCTGCTGCCTATCGGAAGCCCATGCCGGATCAGTTCATCAAGGACTGTATCCCGTGGGTGGGACCCCCACAGTACAGGGGACGAGAGTGACCGAGAAGGAGCGGCAGAGAAGTGCTGTAGACTGACCATAACCTCATTCCCCCGTTCCCCTGCGCCGCTTGGGGGAAGGAGGTGGAAGGCGGGGGGGGGGGGGGGAGGTGCTTGG